CCATAACTCCTGCTCTATTTGGAATACAATCGTAAATATTAGATAAAAGTAAATAATAATTAAGTTGAAGTGAGCAAGAAATAAATATGTAAACAATTAAAAGTAATTGCACTATTTCACTAAATAATTTATAAAATGCAATAAAATGCAATAAAGTACTCACGTAAGGAAAAAGAAACAAACATCATATTATTTATTCGTCGCTGTCCTCTGCTGCCGAGGGATTACGTGGTTCGTCAGTCCAAAACTCGCGGTCCTTACGGAAAAAAACTATAAGAAAAAACTGAGAACAATATAGGAAAACTATTGAAGCACTATTTAAAAATATCGGAATATTATTGTATACTTATTACAACACTATTAGAAAATTATAGAAAACCTATTCGTAAATTTTATAGTTTTAATATAAGTTGTCAATAGTTAAAACAGTAGTATTTTCGTTAATCGACGAAAATACTACTGTTTTAACTATTGACGTTACTCGTTCTCTATAGTTTTTTTATAATATTTTTTCGTAAAGGGGCCTTTGATATTTTGTCCTGCTGCGCGGGTCACTCATTTTCCTATAACAAAACGTTAATTATTTATGTAATATGTTCTGCGCGTTTCTACATGTTTGTCATAAGTGTATGGGAGTATGTTGTAGTGTGATGAGGAGGACGTGCTAGGAGCGTTTTCGGACATTCCTGAGATCGTCATTTGTGTCGGCATGGGGACGAATGTAGGAGGTATTGGATATAAGGTTTGGATCATTTGGATTAAGTACATTACATATATATAAATGACTTATCCATCACACATTTCAATCGTCGCATACAGTGTAAGAATACAGCACAATTTGGAAATCTTGTAAAAACATATTGAAATTGCTGGAAGATGTAAGCTATTGTAAAATAAATATTGTGCAGTAGAGAATATATTTAGATCACTGTCTGTTTCAAACAGAATTATAACTGAAATACAAATATGAAAGGAAAAACTTGTGCATATTTTAATAACGATTATTGCAGCGGGGATGAGAAAGAAGTTGATTAAACAAACTATAAAAACAAGTAAAAAAAAACGCGAGGTTATAAATAAATGGTAAAAAGAAATATCGCAGCAAGCCATGTCTTGCAAAACTTATACATTTTTGTTATTGTTATCTCTCTGACTTCTATTATATTCTACGTGTATAATAGCTCCTATTCTATGTGTATAATAGCGATAACATTTGCTATTAAGAACAAAAATGGTACACAACAATTTTTTCTAAAATTTAGAATAGCAATGAAAGACAAACAGCTGTATAAATTTTTTTCTAAGTGCGTTAATATATTGACTGATAATTTTGACAATTTATATTTGGTATTATGTGCACCATAAATTTTCAGTGTCAAAAGTGATGGAACAAATATTTTTGCATATTTGGAATTTCTTCATATTAATAAGTTAAATAAAAAAGAAAGTAAAATACAAGAGAGGAAAGGATAAAAGCGCGAGACATAAAATATACAGAATAGGGTAAACTAAAGATACTCACAGAAATAATCTTAGAAATATAATAAAATACATAAATCTTCATCTTCTGACTATTCCACATGTGCTATTGCTGCGATAATGTACTGCTCTGTTGCCGATTCATCATCTTCGCTATCGCTACTGTCCATACATGACAAATGGCTGTATGTTATTCTGTAACATTTCACTTGCACTTCTTCCAAGTTAATAAAGAAAGTATCGTTGGATAAAGTAGAACATTTATATATTCCGAGAACCGAAGATGAAATGCCAATATTATAAAAGTCCTCTATCTGTAAAAATCTTTTTACTTCCAAACGGTATGAAGTGTTATGAACGATAATGTCGACTACTATACAAACTAATCCATTATGTAAAATGCAACAATTATCATGTGCATGCAGAGCTAATGATATTCCGTTAAACTGAATCTTACGATAATGACAATATGAAGTATCACTATTATTCTTGTTATTAAACGGCATAGATACGCGAACAGAACATTTAATTTCACGATTATTGACCGTTCCATAATTTTCTTTTTCTATTAAGGGGGGAAATCCAATTAGAACGAGGAAAAATAAGCTATTTTCAAGAATTTTTTTGTAGGAGAAAGAATTTTTCTATATTTTTCAAACTTAAACATTTATTTATATATGTTTTGGACTGTCCATACGTATTTTTTTTTCCAAAAATATTTAAAAAT